AACTTCAAAATCAGTTGAGAAATAGTAAAAATTGCAATATTTGCCATTAATTTTTAACTAATAAAGTCTCATCAATGTGGAACTAACAAAGTTTTATCATCAAAAGTGAAAGCTTGAACTTATTCAAAACTTGCATTGATAAATACCTAGAGAAATATATATGTTATTTATAATTTAATATTATAATTATTTACCTAAAATAACTACACAATGTGTATGCTTTCAAATTGAAATTAATTACTATTAGTTTCACTTGTAGAACTACTACAGCTTTCTATTATATTATTATTATATATAATATTTTTATTACATTATTATATTATAAGGAGAAAAAAATTACTAAAGGTCCAAAAAATTAGTGTGGTAATTTAAAAATCGAAGCAATAAATTATACTAAAGCTATTTGCACATTGCACAGTGGGCCAGAAATCACTTTTACTGGACAAAACTAATAACTCGTCATGTAAAAAAGATTTAAGAACCATTTTTGCACAGCTTACTAATTTGAGGATTGCGGTTTTAATGGTGACATTTTTAATTTTGGATTGCTATGGATACCTAAATTTCTTAGCAACTACATGTTTTATTACCTTTACAAATATAAAGTAACTTTATTGGATTTCTCCCATAATTACCTCATTGAGTATTTTGATACTACAAATGTAGTGGTACTATGTATTTTTTATTTGGTTGATAGTGAAACTTATGGTTATGGTCTCAAAGTTACATTTAATTCGGACCGTAGAGAAAACTTTATTTTTCGGAAATTTCGATTTAGATATGGTTTCAAAGTTTCTTTTAGTTCGGACCGTAGAGAAAACTTCACTTTTTGACAATTTTTTTTCCCGCTTTCTACATTGTTTTTATATCACGATTTATATCATTGTTATAATACCCACAACTTATTTTTTAACCACTCATTTGGCTTAAAATTAGCTGGTTTTATTACAATATTTATTTAGTCTTATTGCTATATTTATTAATATTTTACTTATCTCCTGATTTTCATATTATTACTGTTTACAGAAACTTTCATGTTATCTTGCTTTCATTACTCAGCTTTGTTTTAATTTTCACAATTTTTATCTTTATTATTATTCAGAGAATATTTTTATATCCTTCATTTAATGTTTACACATATGTCGCTTACATTTTTTAGGTTTTTGTGCAACGTTCTTTTTCGCTATCATATATTATTCTATTATTGTTATGATTTTGGGTTTCGCGGGTTACTCATTTTCCTACACTTTTGATTGGTTATCATATTTCGAATGAGGTATCTATGACAGCGTTAGAGTTTATTTAAGGGTATTGTTTTGTTTATTAAAAAATTTTTTAATGAGGTATACTGCTTTTTGATTATCTTGGGCTTGTTTATGCTAATAATACCTATTTGGTTTTATTTCTTAAAATAAATTGATTAATATTTTTATGTTTTTATTAGAATTTTAATTTATTTTGTTTTCATGTTTTCTTTTGGTGGTACGGTAAGTGTTTTATTTAGTTATTTTTATTTTTGTTTGTTCAGTAAATCTATACTTTTTCTATATCATATCATCAAGAGAAATATTGGTGCTTTACAAATTTGGGGTTGGTTGGGTTTTGGCTATTTGTAGTGAGTCCTTTTTTACTGCAGTATGGAATAGGCGTAAGTCGCGGGGTAAAGCATAAGTGGCGATGACGTTTGTCTGACGGGATAAACTAGTTATAAATGCTGATCCTCATCGAAACGTTAGTAATAATAGACGGGACTCTGAAGAGATGTTTATTACTTAATCACTACACTAATTACGTTTACACATTAGCATTAATGTTTTTTTTTCCATTATTAGTCCTTTCATTGTTGTTAGTATATTTTTAATTTGTTGAATGGTTTTTTGTTTTACAAATTTTTGACTGGTTATGTATTTCTTGTATATTTTAGTTCATATTGGTATTTATAAAACATTTTTTTATTTTTATTTTTTTTTTTATTTTTATATATATATATATATATATATTTTTTTTTTATTATTATTATTATTATTATTTATTTTTATTTTTTTTTTTAATTTTATTTATTGTTATTATTGTTGAGTACTGTTTTAATTGTATAGCCTGTCTTATTTATTTTTAAATATTCCTCTATTAATCTTTATTTTTGTCTTGACAACTGTCAAAATATGATTTGTCTAATAAATAATTCTCCTTTATTCTAATGTACTTCATTTCTTCCCTCAGGCGTTTACTGCTCGTGTGTGACCATTCGGCGAACTTTATATGCCAAAGTTTTTAAATATTATATATGAATAAATATTAATACTTTTCATGATTTAACTATATAACTATATAAAAATTTTATTTACAAAATTTTTGCAAATAGGTATTTTAGAATGTTTAATTAATAAAACAAGTTTGTAACATTATTTAGAATAAAATACATATAATATTTTTGCCACATATAATCAGGTCCATCATTTACCTGGTGGGAGATAAGCTAGCAACTAGATAGTCGCTACTTGTGGGTAAAAGATGTGTTTAAGACAGATGAAATACAAAGTAATATGTGTTTTAGACGTTTTAAAAACGTCTTGCATCAACTAGCTATTTTTTTTCAACGGTTAACTTGCAAAAATCATTAATAGAGGCCAGGCAGACATCCGCGGATTATAAAACAAATTTATTTTGATAATATACATTTTGATCAATGTGTTTCAAGTTTTAAATTATTGGACCGCTTTGGACCGCTTTGGTATTCATGTTGTATTCACTTTGTATTCAAATATAAATGAAATTTTAACTTAAAAAAGTACTTTAATACCTCTTCATTTGAAACCATTTTATTTGACATAAATTACATGCAAAATAGTGTTGTAATAGCTCATTTGAAAGATAATACTTGATTCTATTAAATTATGCAATAAAAAGATAGGTTTTAAAGTTAACATCTATTCCATGCTTATTAGTAACATAAAATACTATCAAATTATAAAAAAAAAATTTAGAAAAAATTAAAAAAAAAATAATAATAAAAGCTTTTTATTCTACAGCTTAGAAACATACGGCATGAAAAATATACAAAAATATATACATTTTAGAAAAGTTGAATGTTTAAGCTATAAAATGGTATATAATAATGTAACTTTTGATGTATTTTTCCACCACCTGGCCCACTGTGCTGTGGAATTTTTACACATGAAAATAGAAAGTCTATAATGTATGAAACAATTGAGTTTATTCGCGACCTTCTGCAGCCTATTCTTTCCCGTCATTTTGTTTTTAATTAAAGAAATATATTTTTCACATTTTAGAATTTTTTCGATCCAAACAAAATATATGCTTATACTTTTTCCTTTAAACAATTCACAAATTAAATATCATTTTCAGATCAGAATAGAAAAAAAAAGTTAAATTCATGAAGTAGTTTTTATTGTATAGCACTTCAAAGTTTTTCTTAAAAAACAGTATTACAATTTTAAGTTAAATTTTTTGTTTCACTTTTTTCTTCAACAGCTATAAAAATAAAATGGTTTGATGAATTTCAAAAATTTTTTTTACGCTGACCTACATGGGGCTCACAGTGGCTGGTGAACTTTAATTCAGATAAAACTCAATTTTATTCGGCCAATCGTTATCGTAATAATTTAGATCTTCCTATATTTATGAATGGTAATGTACTAGATGAGTCATCTACCATTCATCTTCTAGAATTAACTCTTACTTCTGATCTTTCTTTTAAACCGTATATCAAATCCATTGCAAAATTAGCATCTGCTAAGGTTGCATCTCTTTATCGAGCTCGACACTTTCTTACTCCAGATTCTATTCTCTATCTCTATAAATCTCAAATACGTCCCTGTATGGAATACTGTTGCCACATCTGGGGCGGATCTTCTAATGATGCTCTTTCTCTTTTAGACAAGGTGCAAAAACGAATTGTAAACATAGTTGGACCTGCTCTGGCAGCCAATCTCCAACCTTTGTCACATCGTCGTAATGTTGCTTCTCTTTCTCTTTTCTACAAATACTATAATGGGCACTGCTCTAAAGAGCTAGCGTCCCTTGTGCCATCTACTAAAATTCATTCTCGTGTTACTCGCCATTCAATTAAGTCTCATCCTTTTTCTGTGACTGTTCCTAAGTGCTTCAAAAACTCTTATTCTTCTAGTTTTTTTCCTCGAACATCAGTTCTTTGGAATTCGCTTCCTTCATCTTGCTTTCCTGATTCATATAATTTGCAATCTTTTAAGTCATCAGTCAATCGTTATCTTGCTCTACAGATTTAGTCTTTTCTCTTCCAGTAACTTCCAACTCTTATAGTGGTTGCTTGCAGCTTTGTTGGAAGTGAAGATGTAAAAAAAAAAAAAAAAAAAAAAACATATTTTACATAATATAAATTTACTATATAAAATTTTAAAAATAAAAAGTTGGAAAAATGAATTTTTTCATGCTCTAGGTACACTGTCTATTTCAAAGTTGAGATTATTAAAGTTTGTTAGATATTAGATTAGAAAAAAACAGATAACACAATAAGAAAAAAACAAAACAAACAATAATACACAATATATATATATATATATATATATATATATATATATATATATATATATATATATATATATTACAGTTAATTGCAGCACAATTGAAATTATTAAAACAATATTACAGTTGTATAAGTAATATTACAGTTAATAGCACAATTATTTGTGATTATTTTATATTCTAAGAAAGTTATTTTTAAATTAGCGAATTTCTAATTAATAACTTTATTAAAAATATCATTACTATACCTCTAGGATACCATATCTCTAACATATCAATATATCTTACACATTAAATCTCTGCCTTATGACTTTATATATAGTATATTTCTCAAGCATATATTTTTGCTTGTCAACTCCAACACACTGCTACCTTATCTCCAGAATATTTTTGTCTCAAAAATATTTATACAATCCTAGTTCTAATTTTTATAATAATAAAGGATATTATTTAAAAAAAAACTTTAGAAAATAACATACAGCATGTTAGTGCATAAAGAAGAACAGCAGCGGTGTTCATTGAACCATGCCTATTAGGAACAAAATTGTATACTATATATAAGAATTATATTTTAAGTTTATTGCAACATGTTAATGAATGTATATATCTAGATATATACATACACTCCTAATAAATATAGATATTTTATCTATATCTATTGGGAAATTATTCAGAAAAAAAATACTTTGGAATTTAAAAAATCAAGCCCTCTAGATTTGAAACAAATATGTTTAAAGTAATTTGCAAAATTTAAGCACCATTGAACCACTATTTCGTTGCCCTCAAAGGACATACTTATAAAAAAAAGACCTCAAAATGGCTATAGACCATATATAGCTTATTTTAAGGGTTTTGAAGGCAAGAATAACAGTTATTTTTAATAAATTTTCTGGGGTATAAATAAATATCATAAATAGTATAAATACTATAAATGGTAAGGTTTTTTTTTCTTCCCTAAAAATAGTAAAATATACACTTTAAATCAGCTAAAGTTTGGTTATAATGTAGTGCAACATTTTTATTTAGATATCATAATAAGAATTACAAATGTATATATTCAGAATCAGATTAAAATTACTCATGTATGTTTAATATAACTAATATTTTAGATAGAATAAAATATGCTTTTAAGTTATCACTACAATTTTTTTTATCAAAAACAATTTATTTGAAGTATTTAACAAGATTTTCTAGAAGTTTTAACTTTTTTCTATAGTTTATATAACATGCTATGTGATTTAGCATGTTTGTTTCTTTGTTAAGAAAGTAAGACTGACAGTTTTTCTTGTTTAGACTGGTGAATCTCTTCTAAAAATTCTAAAAACAAAACAAACTTTGTTGACAAAAGCAGTCTATTCAGTTTTTTATCTTCATTGTTGAAACAATCACCATAATGCTACATCATACCAACAACTTTACCTGAATGTTTATTGACAGCTAAAAAGCTATTAGCATATTTTTGAAAGACTTGAGTATGTCAGTACTGTGGTGAAAGTAAAAGTCTTTTATTCTTTCTTCTATAAAATCACTAAAGTTAAGAAATAAGGTAAGAAAACTCATCCACTAAAGGTGCTAAACTTGGAGGTCTTTTTTAGTATTGGCATTTTTTTGCCCAATTTACATGGGTCTCTTTCTCCCTTGTACATTTTTATTGTTATTTTATTAATATTTATTATTACTAACTAATAATTTTATTTAATAAATCAACTTTTATTTTAATATTTGCGAAGTTTATTAAAGCAACACTGCATTGCTTCATATATCATTTATATTAAGGTATTTTATATAACACATTTTTATATTGTAAATAGTATAACATGTTTTGTCTTAAATATATATTATATTTAATGTCTCTTATAAAACTTGTAAAATTGTAGTGATAACAATAATAGATATTTTTTTATTAAAAATAAGTATTATTACATACAAAAAATGAACAATTTTAATCTGATTTTGAATATATATATTTGAAAACCTCACTATGAATTTAATTAAAAATTATTGAATTTAATTATTATAAAAGTTTCAAAAGCAATGCCGCACTGAATAATTACCAAAGATTAGCTGATTTTAAGTGTAAATTACACTATTTTAGGAGGGGAAAAAACCCATTATATATGAAAAATTATTTGCTTCAAATCTAGAGGGTTTGGTTTTTTAAATTCCAAAATTTTTTTTTTTAAAAGGGTTATCCAAAACTTTTTTTTTCAAAAAGTGCACATTGGAATCTCCCATTTTTATCCATCTACTAAAATAAAAATTAGTACAATTTGATGTAATTTAAAGCATTTATAGAAGTATAACATAAAATTTATATATATTATATATTATAACATTATAACATATTATAAATTATAACATAAAAGAACATAAAATTTTTAAACAGACAGGTTTCTAATATTGCCAAAAGTTTTTTTTTTTTTTAGCAAAAGTATATCTTGTTGGGTCTCAAAGGAAGAGAAAATTTATAAAAATTTAAATTGTTTCAATTTACTTAATAATTAATCTAATATATTATAAACTTTTTTTTTTAGAAAATCATTAGAGTTAGAGGTGCCTAACTGATTATGTAACTGATTATGTAACTGATTATGTAACTGATTATGTAACTGATTATGTAACTGATTATGTAACTGATTATGTAACTGATTATTTAACTGATTATGTAACTGATTATGTAACTGATTATGTAACTGATTATGTAACTGATTATGTAACTGATTATGTAACTGATTATTACAAATAATATAAATATCTCTCACATAGATAAAATAATTAGATTTCAACACATGGTCTTCGTGCATAATGACTTTAAAAATCTCACACCAAACAACACCAATCGAGGAATGGCGTCCAAGGCTGGAGGCGTAAATACGGGCAAAAGGGGGTTATTTCGAGGACTCTCTTTATTAATGTGTACTTTAGCATTTTAACTAAAACATAACATGCATAGAATATGTATATATTACATTTGTTCTTGCATTAAAAACATGTTCTCTTAAATTTTTTTACTGAATTAAAATTTCGCACTTCAATTGGTACCATTAGGTATATTTGTGGGTGGAACTAGAATTGGTAAAACAATTTGTAAAAGATTTTGGAGACAAAGATCAAAGATGGTATATTAGTTGGACCCCAAATAAAGAAAGTCAGAGAAACTCAAAAAAGCTATGACAAAAGTTGAAAAAAAAACTTAGTGTGCATTTCATGATGTACTTCATGAACTTCTAGAAAATCGCAAAAATTTCCTAGATAATTACAAACAACTGGTTATAAAGCTTATTGAAAAATTCAAGAAACTGAGTTGCAGAATGTCCATAAAGATTCATATGTTGTCATTCACACCTAGATTTCTTCCCTGAAACATGGGTAATGTCAGTGAGGAGCATGGTGAGAGATTTCATTGAGACACTGCAAAAAGAAAAAGTAGATATCAACAATGAAAATTTTTGCATATATCAAGAAAATATGAACATGAGCATAAATAAAAAATTATCAATGTTACATCAAAACAAATGTGATTTTTTAATTCAGTGGCAAAAAATACATTAAAAAACATTGAAAAATTTTTTCATTGTATAAAATAATGACATTTACTAGATTAGCAAGACCTGTGTTACATTGTGTAATCTATAATGACATTTAAAAAAAAGGGCAAGACCTTTGTTGCATTGTGTAATTTATAATGACATTTATTAAATATCTCTATGCAAAACATCTAACCTGTGTACATTGAACATTCCCAATAAAGCCATAATGATTATGCCAAAACATAATGCTAGAAACTGAGAACCATTTCCTTTGTAAAAAATAACATAGTAAACAAAATATTTTTATAACTATTTTTTTTCATTTATTGATTATTGATGAATTATAATAATCATCAATTTATAATATAAGTGCAGGCCTTGTTTTAAATAAAGTGCTTAATGCATTAGCTTAATACGATTTTGCGTTAAGCTAATGCATTAAGCAAAGAAACAGAGCTATAGAGAAAAATCTTTTTTAACGATTAAATCTTTTTTTTTTTTAACTTTAGGAAATTAAAAAAAAAAATAAAATTAAATATAAAAGTCTTAATTATGCAAACTTTATTAATTATTCTTAAAACAAAAAACAAATACATCTACGCAAAACTTTAATCGTGCAAACTTAAAAAAATACTCAACATAATTAAAAAATACTCAAAATAATTTAAGTATATTTAATAATTTGAATCGTATCTGTTTATAATAAACGTTCGTAAAAATTTGTTTATTAAAAATTAAGTTCCTTAACTTATAAATAAACTCAAAAATATTTTCATTATACATATAATTACAAAACTCTTTTTTTTTTTCGTTTGTAAGTAATTTAACTTAATAAAATAAAAAAAGAATAAATATGAGGTTAAGAACAAACTTAACTTATTTATTGAACTATATATATATTTTTTTATTTATATAGCAACTTAATTAAAATATAGTATCATTTTAAAATATTTTAACATGACTTGTGTTATTTATAAACCATAGGGCAGCTGCCCTTACGGCACCATTGTTTTTGGATAATATTTTATTTTGATGAAGATCATATAACTTACATTTGATTTTAATAACATAAGTTCTTTTCTGTGATCATCGCATCGGCAAAGCATCAGCAAAGTCCCAAGATTTAAAAGTTTATAAAGTAAATCTTTTGTCCTTTAAAATACAATCTATATTCGAACTTTAAACAATTTAGAGAGAACAGAAATATACAATGTTTTTATATACTAGTTTGTCTTGTTTTATAAAGAAAAATACATATTCATTAGTAAAAAATAGAGACTGTCATTAAACTAAAATGTGCCTTAGTATTTATTTAATGGAATCTGTAATGTGCGCGTACATAATGAAACCTCCGTTATATAAATATATTCAACGTAATATTAGTGTCATCAGCGGATGTTGTAGTCTACTCATGATTTCTTCACCTTATAATATAACTTTTTGAAAAAAACTTATTGAATTTGGTAATTCAAAAATATTAAGACATTTTTTGAGATATTAAAAAAAATGTGAATCCTTAATTACATATAAAAATATTAAAAAATATAAAAATTTCATAATTCAAGACATTATATATTACCAACTTGATAGAACATATTTTTTCTTATTACTTTTCTAGAGATAAGGAAAAAAATTTTCAGGAATTTTTTTTCTAATCGATTTTCATTCAAAATAGCAATTTAATTAAATGGAATAGATTAAAACAGAATGAAATAAAAGAAATAATAAAATTTATGTTTAAAAAATGTTTATTCTTTTCGTCTTGATTATTAAATAAAATAATTTTTAAAATTAAATTTTAAACTTTTGATAGCTTAAGAGAAATTTCAAGAATCTTTTTTCAAAACTAAATTTACTATTTCCGGTAAAAAGACATGAGTTAAAAATGTAAAAGGTGCCAAGTTTTATTGCACCAAAAAGTGCTGCGTAAGTGACAACTCGGCTTAACCTCCTTTTTTTTCTTCATTTAAATAAAGTTCTTTAAAACACAGGAAAAAAATTTAATTTGAATTGTACATATTTAAATAAAGTTAATATAATCTATTAAAAATATACAGAAAACTAAAACACATTACCAAGTATGGAACAAAGTAGTGTGCGATTAACAGGAAATCGGAAAACATCTGCATGAATAATTTTCCAACCATAATCATCTTGATCTAAATCATTCATACCTTCTTCATCAGGAAGATTATATCGAGCAAAGTCATTTTTCAAAATTCTCATCTAAATGCAAAATAACTAATTGTGAATAGCCATTATATTTACAAATATTTTTATTTAATATACATCATGTGAAATCTTATATTTTCATATATTAAATATTTAATAACAAATATAATAGCTTATTGCAAAACAAATACTGCATTTTATTGTTGTTGTTTTTTTAACAAGAATTAAAAGAATTTAGTTTATTTCTTTATTATTTTACATTTAGATTTCTTGCTCCATCCAAACAGATTCAACGTTAATTTGAAATTTTAAGCTTAAGTTGATGTCTATTATAATGATGCAGTCAACATCAGATAAATTATGATTTCTTTTATTCAAGAACATATCCTTAAACCCTAATCTTCTATGTTTTATTATTGTTCTTCCGCTTAATACCATCGACTGTGAAGTTCATAAAAAAGAGTTATTTAAAGTTAGAGAAGCAATAGACTTTATTCCAATTTTACATTAAATAAATTTTGCTATTCTTACTTGTCCTGTAAACTAATCTAAAGTTGAACTATTTTTTGCACTAGGTTGAGGAATCTATTTTATTTTCAGGTAAACTTTTTGCCGATGAAGTTTGCCACATTTGTAAAGAAATTCTCTGCTGTCTGTCTTGTGTACAAACAAAGCATTTTTATAGATTACAAACAAAGCATGTATGTATGTATGTATGTATGTATGTATGTATGTATGTATGTATGTATGTATGTATGTATGTATGTATGTATGTATAAATGTATTATAGTTTTTGGAGCACTTAGGAATAATCACAGAAAAAGGAAGAGACTTAAAATGACGAGTAACACGTAAATGAATTTTAGTAGATGGCACAAGAGACGCTAGCTCTTTAGAGCAGTGCCCACTATAGTATTTGAAGATTAAATTTACTATGCGTTTTTGCACCTTGTCTAAAAGAGAAAGGGCATCATTTGTAGATCCGCCCCAGATATGGCAACAGCATTCTATAAAGGAAAGATTTGAGATTTAAAAAGATAAAGAATAGAATCCAAAGTAAGAAAGTTTCGAGCACTATAAAGAGATGCAACCTTAGCAGATGCAATTGCAATTGATTTGATGCATGGTTGCCTAAAGATATTACCTGATACACCGTAAGAAGATAAGCTTATGGAAGACCAGCATGCTAAATTTTATCAAAAGCTTTAGAAATGTCAAGAGCGATAGCCTTAACCTCTACACCTTTATCTAATGCATTGATAAAACCTGTTACTAGTGTTAGCGAATCAGCTGTAGAACGAGAAGATCGAAATCCATATTGATGATCAATAAGTTGTTAAATTCAATATGAGAGATTAAATGTTTGTTAATTAAAGATTCAAAAACCTTGCTTATGATAGTAAGAAGACTAATGGGATGGTAGTTGGACAAGTCAGATCGGGACACCATCCATGTGCAACATGGCACTGTTAGTACTCGGATATTTTACAGCTGTTGATGGAATCAGCCTCTCTGAGAGCTACCACAGAGTTTGAGAAACCTGACTACTTTTCGGCCTCAGAACCATAAAACTAAATTTTAGTGCTTTACCCTCACTAGAGTGTTACAAATTCACTAGGAGATTATAGAATGAGTTGCTTAATCTTAAAAACAGAGCAAAACTAATGCATTGAGTTAAGAAGATCCAGCAATTGACATCCTTAACTGAAAACAATGTATTATAAATACATATGCGCAAGCCTAATAGACGAAGAAAGGGTGTAAGGCTGGTCAACAGATAGAATCTGTTTACCTCTTAAGTCTTTGTCTAGAAGGCCTTCTACAAGGCAGTAACCGGATGCATTTATTATCTGCCCAAGTATTTTTATTGAGACAACATCTCTGGCCTTTACTCAACCAAGAGTTACCAAAGGTCAGTTATCAAAAATCAACCAAAAGACCGAGTTGGCTTCTCTTAGGCTTTGCCAAAAAAGTGTATCCTACAAGACAGCAGGATATGAAGCAGTTGTACTGGGCTACATGTTACCAGTAGCAGGATAACCTGACCTGAAATATGTTATACTTAATAACTTTATAATTTACTACCATTTATTTACAAGACTTTATTTTTAGTTTAAATAAACATAATAACTATATCATAATAATTAACATATAATATTATTAGATTTCATGAGTCCACCTTTCTTTTTAAAAGTGTCAATCATTACCGCCTTTTTGCTTCAAAATGTGTTTTAAACAAAATGGTAATAAGACTAATTGTAGTAAGAAGTTGATTAAACAATTGTTATTAAAAAAACAAAACAAAAAAACGTAATATTGTATAATACCAAAAGTAGTAACTCATATAAATATCATATTTTTATATTTATTTTTATCACACTGAACTTTGATAACTTTAATACTTTATTAGATGAACTGTATTTTGTTTTTGTTTTGTTTTCCTAAAACATTTTGTTATCTGTTTAACTTACAGTATAAAGAAATGTAGACCTTTTATATACAGCATAAACATAAATTCTTTTAACAACAAATGAAAAAATTTGTATTAGTAACTTAAATTATAAAAAAAGCTTACCAAAATTATCACAACAAACCCAATCAAAAGAAAAACCAGAACACATGAATTTAAAATTGATAACCAGTGAATCTAAATGACAGGAAAATTTTTAACTAATAATAATAAGTTGTCCTGAAATAACTTTTTTGAACTTCACTTCTAAATTTAAAACATTGCATACAGAAAATTCAGGATTAATTAAAATGCATTTTTATGAAAACTAGAGATGTTTTCCTTAAGCTAACTAGTCAACTTATGATAACAGACACTGTTAAATTTTTATTAAATAAAAAAACTATTTATATTAGTTTACTGATAGAGTTGCTATTCAGGTTTCCTTACACATTAGGTTACGTCATACTGAATAATTTTTGAAAATAACACTTGGAGAGTGATTTTATTATGGGTTAAGCAATATCCAGGCAAAATAAAAATAAAAATATATTCAGTTCACATATTCAGGAAAATTTGCTTTATTTTGACGATCTTGATAGGCGAGTTCTTTGAAAAAATATGAATGAAAACAAAAAGACAGGTTAAGGCGAGGAAAAGAAAAACAACAGATATTGCATCTTTAGAAAAAAGAAAAAATTTGATTCAAAAATCTCTATATATGAATGTTAATACACAGGTTCAAATAGAAAGTTTGTAAACTAGTGGAACATGAATTAAATCAAGAAACTTCACCTGAAAATATTAAGGATGTAAATAAAGAATCCTCAGAAGACATGTCCAATACTTTCAAACAAAAACTTTTTATTAACATTGAACAAAATTACATGAATATCCCCAATACAGCTCGAGCATTTCTTCAATTGGACATATCTCCTGCTGCTATATCTGCAATTGCATCTGCTTTCCTTCAAGACTTGAATCTAATTACTTGACTCAACAAAAATTGCTAAATAAGCATGTGATCCTAAAAAGGTTTAGAGAACCAGACAAGAGGCTATATTAAAACTAGAGTTTTGTCAGAAAAACTAATTATTGAAGTATCTATCATATTTTTAGATACAAAAAAAAACTCTACTGGATGGTTCCTAAAGGAATTTATCAAACTAAAATTGTGATTGGATCATCAGATTCCATAAATTTAATGATTGGATCTGGTAAAAATTGCAAATTATTAACTCACCTGGAGAAACTTGTTTAAGAAAATATTTTTGTCAATGTCCATGTTACATATAAGTGATATTTTTGTCAATGTCCATGTTACATACAAATGTAGTGAGCTACCTTTGAAATACCTGATTGCAAATCTTGATGGATCAAAATGAACTTATAAGCAAACTATTATCAAAAGTAAATCAATTAAATCAACTAGAAAAATTTAAACCGATTAAACAGATTAAACCTCTGATTAAAATTCCGGATGACTTTTCAAGACATTTCAAAAAAAACGTCAAGACAAACTGCACTAAGCAACAAGTTATAACAGAAAATGTGGCAATCTTTACCATAGCAGGTGCCCTATTACCTAATCAAACCTCTTTATCTATTAAGAGGTCAAAGAGTCGAAGTAGAGGATATCATTAGTCTATTCAAAATAGGGCATTTGATGCTCATTTTGAGTCTCTTCTACATTTCTCTTCTTGCAAGCTCATCAAATGAAAGTAGAGATTTTGCAGTCAAGATTATTAAAGTTAGAAGAGTTGATGCAAGGGGATGCAAGAGTAAGAAACCAAAAAACTTCCTCAACTTTGATGCTGCGGCTCTCCTTTAACTCATTGAATGAAGTAATGAACAAATCTTGGTTTAATGTAATATGACAAAAAAAGATTTTAAAAAGTAATAGATTCTCCTATAAAAGAAAAAAGTAATAGATTCTCCTATAAAGAAAAAAGTAATAGATTCTCCTATAAAAGTTATCCTCTTATTTTTACTTTTATTTTTGTTTTATGTTTTCGTTTATAATACATTTTTTTTTTTTTTTTTAATTATTCACCTCCCCAAGGCCCCAGGGGGCTACTACAGTCGAGGAGGCTACTAATTTTTTTTTTTGTTGTTGTTGTTGTTGTTGTAAATTGTGGTACAACCCTCTCTCAGCTCTTTAACTCCGAAACACGAACTTTGACAAGCAAGGCCGCTGCGCGGATTTATAATATGAGATATAATTTTAATACAATTTTCTATTTAATTTTTATTTTCTTATTTTAATTATAATTAGTTATATATGAGATATAATATTACTTAATATTCTATTGTTTTATTATTATGAATATTATTTTATATTAATTTGTTTATTAATACTGCTTAATCTATGACATATATTATTATTACTGTAATAACTGTTGCTATTATAATTACTATTTACAATATTATATCATTATTTTTCATTGTTATTTTCATTATCATTTGCTTCTTTTTTTTCTTTAAAACTTAAAAACTTCAAGCTTTCTTCTAAATTTGGCAAACTTTCTTCTTTTATCTTTCTCATTACTTTTGCTATGACCTCTATCTTTCAGGAAGTATGCGTGTACAAAAAAAGTTAGTACAAATTGCAATTCAATGTGATGTATGTTTGTTTTTGACTCATACAAAATGTATCAATCTTTATGATCATGGGTACAATTTAACAAAATCAAAACGCTCAACATGGTTGTGTGTAAATTGTGCTAAAGGTTTTTGCCATTGACAGATGTATCTGATAATGAATTTAAACTATTCTTTACTTCAAATAAAATTATTATAACTGATAACTTGCCTTAATCAAATAAATTCTTTCCAGCATCAAGATTGAATAAAGTTTATACTCAATTTAATAAATTCATTACATCACATGCTTTAATTCCTGAAGAGGAAAACTTTTCATCTTTTGATTTAGATTGCCAATATTATGACAATAAATTTTGTTCTCATAACTTTCACATCATAAACTCTATGTTCTTTTTCAATTTAAAATTTCATCCTCATTCAATTTTCAATTTAATCCTCTTTGCAAAAGCACTTTGAAGATCTAAACATATTATTATTATTAATTAGTTTTGAAATAGGCATTATTGGAATTACAGAAACAAAGTTAAAAAAAAAATTCTTCCACAAACCCAATTATTATTCAAAATTATAATTTTGAGCACACAAATCTTTTTTGTGGTGGAACCTTGTTATATTTATCAAAAAAACTGATTTATAAAAGAAGAGATGATTTGATCATATACACACCAAACTATTTAGAATCTATTTTTGTTGAAATACTTTTTCCCAAAAAATCAAATGTTATTGTTGGTTGCATATTTAGACAACCTAACACGGATGTAAACAACTTCAATAATAAAATGTCTATTCTTCCCAAATCTCTTTAAATATCTTTTCTTCTCAAAATCTTTTGGAAATAAATCTTTCTTTCTACTTGGCAATTTTAACATGGATCTGATACAGTCAAACTCTGACTTAGCAACTTCTGAGTTTTTAACCAAATCTTTTTGTAGTGGAACCTTGTTATATTTATCAAAAAAAACTGATTTACAAAAGAAGAGATGTTTTACGTATACACACCAAACTATTTAGATTATTTAAACTTACTTCTTATAATATTTGCCCATTTATTATGCTACCAACAAGAGTTACTGAGCATTCTGCCATTGACAATATCTTTTCAAATGTAACCATTGACAATATCTTTTCAAATGTAACCATTAACCAAATTATTTCAGGAAACCTAACAACTAATAATTTATACAACAGGAACTTTAACAATTTTAATAAAGATTCATTTAAATATGAATTATTCAAAATTGACTGGAATAACATTACTAATAAAAACGATATTAACTCTAGTTTTGAAGCATTTATTTCTCAAACAACATTGTTGCTAGATTGTCATGTACCACTCAAAAAAATTAGTATTAAGAGCTACAAGTGTCAATTCAAGCCATGGATTACTAAAGGAATAATAAAACTCAAATTCGAAATCTTATTCAAGGGAAAATGTTAAGGATAAAATATCCAACAAACAGTTTAATTATATTAAACTAAAAACAATTTTTAAACGGTAAATATACCATAATTAATCTAATAAAATGAAGTAAAAAAATGTTTCAAAAAAATATTTTCAGAAAATGTAAAAAAATCTTCGTGAAACCTGGAAAAGCATAAAAAGTCAAAATGCCTAAAATATCAATAATGAACATCCAAATTGCTTCCAAGTTAACAAAACATACATAACTGAACCAACTCTAATCTGTGAAGAATCCAACAACTTTCAAACAAACGTAGCTCATAAACTTAATTCTAAAATTCATTCATCTTAAATTAACTATAAAAAGCATCCAAATCTTTATAGTTTACTGATATCTCCAACAAACTTTTCTGAAACCTCATCATTTATATCTAAAATGAAACCTAGAAAATTAATAGATCCTAACATCATCCCCACAAACATTCTTATTGATTTTAATTCTGAACTTTCTCATATTCTCTCTTAACTATTTAATATCTCCTTCTTAAATGAAATTTTTTCTGACATTTTGAAATTACCTCGTGTCATTCCAGTATATAAAAATGGCTCAAAACTCTTATGTACTAACTATAGACCTATTTCAATTCTATCTAACATTAACAAGCTCCTTGAAAAACTAATGTATTCTAGATTATACTCATTTCTCAGTTCCTTTAACTGTTTAAATGAATTTCAGTTTGGATTTTGATCAAAGCACTCTACTTGCCACGCTTTAAAAAGTTTAACCAAAAAAAATTTAAAAGGCACTGGATACTGTTTATTTCATTGATGGTGTTTTTATTGACTTTTATTGACAAAAAGCTTTCAATACTGTTAATCATACCATTTTAATTTCTAAACTTGAACATATGAAACCATACTATGAAATTCGAGGAGTTGCTTGTAATTGGTTTCAATCTTATCTCTCAAATCAGAAGCAATATGTTAGCATTAATGGTTAAAAATCAAATAACAAACACATAGTTTGTAGCGTTTCCCAGGGTTCTGTTCTTGACCCTCTATTATTTTTGACTTATGTTAATGATCTAAACAACATTGTCCACTTCTATCAGTCCATTTGTTTGCTGATGATACTAATATCTTGCATATTAATAAGTCTTTTCATTCCTTGTGTAAGAATATAAACTTAGAT